TTATTTTTTTTCCCCAAACTTGTAATTAAGCTGTAATCAGGGTTAATTAAAACTGGTTAAAACCCAATATCAAACTCAAAGTGTTTGTTTATGTTTCTTCTTCTTCGTTCATTTTTATTAACGCCACATAATCCCCACAGTGGAGTTTTATTACCTGGTTATTTGTAAACAAAGAGATTAACCCGTCACTTTTTGTCTCATCCATAGTGAGCCACCAGTCATAAAGAAGGGATTTTTGTATTTCAGGATTACAGTTAATTATAATAAATGCAAAGTGTTTCTAAAACAGTAAAGACGCTGTTCTTTGGCCGTCAGGGGACCGAGATATTACCAAAAAGTATTCACTCGTCTGCCCTCACATGCATATGAACTTGACTGACATCCCATTCCTAATCCATATTGTTTAATTTGATGTCGACCCAACCTTTACAGCTAAAAGAGCTTCAGCTTTCCTGGAAAGGTTTTCCACAAAGTTTAGGTGCATTCTTCCAGAAGCACATTTGTGATGTCAGACACTGAGACGTGAAGGTCTGGCTCGCAGTCTGCGCTCTAATTCATCATGAAGGTGATCTGTCAGGCTGACGTCGGGACTTTGTGGAGGCCAGTCAAGTTCTTCCACACCAAATTTGCACATCCATGTCTTTATGAACCTTGCTTGGAACAGGAAGGGGCCAAGCTGTTCCCATGAAGTTGGGAACATGAAATTGTCCAAAATGTCTTGGTATACTGAAGCATTAAGAGTTTCCTTCACTGACACTAATGAGCCGAGCCTAACTCCTAAAAAACAACCCCACACCGTGATCCCTCCTCCGCCAAACCCTACACTTGTAACAATGCAGTGCCGTTCCCCTGGCAACCATCCATCAGATTGCCAGATGGACAAGGGTGATTTGCCCCTCCAGAGAACATGTCTCCACTCCTCTAGAGTCGGGTGGCAGCGTGCTTTACACCACTGCATGTGACACTTTGCATTGTGTTTGGTGATGTGAGGCTTGGATGCACCTGCTCGCCATGGAAACCTATTCCATGAAGCTGTCTCCACACTGTTCTTGAGCTAATCTGACAGTCACCTGAGGTTTTGAGCTCTGTAGCGATTGACTCTGCAGAAAGTCGGTGACCTCTGAGAACTATCAGCCTCAGCATCCGCTGACCCC